ATAACAATTATTATTTCTAACAAACATATTCGAAGTATAGTAAGAATATATTACTCGCCACGATCGTCAAAGTTTTCGTACAAGCAAGAGATTCGGTTGAGACGTTTTTAAATCGAGAAATTTGGTTGAGACGTTTTTAAATCGCTATCCTTACCAAAAAGTGTCCAATAAAAAACAAAAGTTACACCGTCGTAATTCTCTTGTTTCTTTGAGGGGAAATTTGCGTAAGAAACAAGAAAAAAGAGAGTGAGAGACGGGAGAAAGAAAAGAAGAAAACTACGGAAGGGACAAAGATTTATCGCCAAATTCGACGTGAACTGAAGCAAAACGAGTATCTCTTTTATCGACATATACTCCTCTCTCCTTCTCGTGCGGATTTTACGTTTGCTGCTTCTCTGTTTAGGCTTTTATCGACTGTCTTTTCCGTGTATATCTGCCTTAGCGATAAGGACAGATAGACAAAAAAAAAGCCGAATTTATTTATAAGCATTACCCTCGAAGAAACGACAAAGTGGAGTCGCTTTCCGAACCGAAAACTGTGAAATGACTTTTATTCGCTCAACCACCCTTATATTTCAATTACACGGATTTAAATGTCACACGGTCGTTTTCATTACTCAAATAAGGAAACGCTTTGTTCATGTCGGGGGATTTTGGAGGCGCGAGAACCCTCGGTAGCTATTGTTAATGGAACTAGCCAGAGAATGATATTAGAAGCAAATGTCAGAATATATAGTTAAGATATTTAATGTTTTATATTTGAATGCATGAGAAAAAAATTATAATATTTTACAAACAGTTAACATATTTAATCCGAATAATAATTTAACTTTGAATAATTTTATTAATATAACATTAAATTTTTCTATTTTCTATACACTTCTCAAAATAATTAAGGGATCAAGAAAAATTGTCCAAAAATAAACAAATTTTAAATAGCTGTAACTCTTGATTATAGCTTAAATAGCTTTGTTTCAAAAAATAATAATTTTTTTAAAAAAGAGTTTAAAAAGCTTGAAATCTCTACTTTCGAAAAGTCATAGCTTTTTTCATTTTCTTTAATTCTGATATATTTTACATACAGAAAACGACAAACATAACAAATGGAAAATTTTCTTCTTGCTTTGTAAACATATGGCATACACAACAAGATTTGAAAACATTTTTTGACATTTTCACGTTAAAGTCTGAAGTTTTCCCTGCAAAATCGTTTTTCAAAATTTAAATTTCGATCTTTCCTTATGAAGTTATCGCAAATTAAAGAGAAAACGTCATTTTCACTTTAATCGTTCATAACTCTGTTAAAAATCATCTTACAATAATTTTATGAATAGATTCTTGAAGCTAAATCTTTGCTCTATAGCATGATACAGAGACTACATTTTTTTTAACTCGTACACTTTTTACAAATTGGTAAAAATAACAAAGAACTTCATGAGTTTTCTCCTTTTTGTTTAAACTTTAAAAAAAAGTTACGTAAAGTGACTAAAAGAATTTTATCGACTAAAATTTTTGTGCCTTATAGTACCCCAAACTTGGCAAAAAATCACAAACTTGCTGTGATAATTTCTTTATAATGATCCGTGTGTTTAAAATGATCAATGTGTACAATATGTTAAAACATCTTGATTTGCTTTGATAAAAAAATTAAAAAATAATAAAATCCGTGGCAGAACAATCTTTTCTCCACTTTCTAACATAATCTTTTAACTCAACATAAAATTTAGAAAATGTAAAGTTGCATATCATGTCTAAAATTACCGCCGACATCAGCTTCACCTAAAGAACAAATCCAATCAAACAATCTTCACGTAATGCACTTTTAAAAATCAAGAGTTACAGCTATTTAAAATTTGCTTATTTTTTGGACCATTTTTGATCTCTTAATTATTTTGAGGAGTGTATTTATAAATCAAACAGGCAGAGTTTTAGATTAGCTTTATATATAGATTAACTTTCACAAAAAATATATTTGACACACACACACATATACATATTTATTGTATACATCATCCTGTATGTATCGTAGAAAATGATTATTTATTTGATATGTAAAAGATTGAAACACATTTGTTATTCAAATATGACTATTTTCATCAATATTTTGGATCAAGTATGTAAATCCAGCTTAGTAATTCGCTACTTCTTAACTAGCTTTTCCTGTAATATAGAGAAAGAGAAAGAGAATAGTTTAATTAACTTAATGAAACGTAGTTCTAAGCTATGTTGCTGTAGAGGGCCCTAAATGGATTATATCGAGGATTTGGTGCAGTTTAAATCGTATGCGGAAGGTTCCCACGAGGCGACGACCAGAAACTCCAGAAACCGGCGGGGCAGGCAATATGCGAGTGAAATTCCGTATCAACGTTAAATCCATACGGGAGTACATATTCGTGGTACGAACGCTTGTAGAATGCCCGTAATTGCACAGTCGGGACTGCATAACGGCACTTAACCAGTCGTTTATAATTACCAAGTTATCATCTCGCGAAAATAAAACAGATCGGAAACAAAGGAAAATAAACGCGATAGATATCAATGAACACGATTTGCGCGCTAGAGGCAAGTTTGCAGTTTAAACGCAGGTCGATTAAACGTGACACACACATCTCAAAAGTTAAATTCCGTTTACTTAATGGTAATCCACGTCTAAACGCGCTTACATGTTACGTTACTCCGAGCGTAGTCTACGAAATGCATTTCTACTTCACGTTGATTTAATGTTAATTCTCGATTGCACGAAACTGAATAAGATTCTAAGTATCATTTCCTGAAAGGGCAACTTATTTCAAATTAATTTATAAATTTTCGTTAAATAATTCGTCATTTCACATGATTCAACTTTTTTTCCTTCGCGCAAAGATGAGAAATTAATATTTCAATAAACTATATTACGAAAATAAAATGTCTTCAATAAAAACTTGTCATTTTAATTAATTTCTGCTAAAAATTATAATTCATAATAATATAATAAATATAAAATATAACGCAAACATTGAATATTAAGTGTATAGCATCTAAAATCCCTGACGTACGCTTTAGCAATAAATTTAAATATTCCGAGTACTCAGAACTGCATTGTCTGGCTTATAATCCTCCAACATGAACTCAAAGAATTAATTCAAGCTAATCGCCGCGCAAATATCCGACGATAGAAGGAAATAACCGGCGTTAAATACTGCGCTTGAACAGCCATTCGTTAAAAGATTGCGAATATAACTCCAGGGCGCCGCAAAGAATTAATCGAGTGTATGGAAGTAAGTTTCGCGCCAAGAATATTAAGTATATTGATCTCCAATTTTAACAATCAAAGAGAAGTTGCGCGAAAGTTGAGTTTCGAAGCGCGATTAATTCTTAACATCATAAACGTCGGTATACACAATTGTGAGCATTTGGATTACTGCGAAGGCCCCGACGTACGCGACTTGAAGCATCTGTTTGATGCTGTTATTTCGCGTCTCAATTACATCGCAACTAACCCATTTCGTGGGGCAATGGCTCGGAATAATTCCCTCAACAAAATTGCCGCACGCCATTTCCCTTAGCGAGCTCTCGAGGGACTCTACAACGAATGTCTTCTTGTTTCAAACGGTGTCGATCTGAATTCTCATTAAATTCCGCAAATACGTCCAGTTATGTCAAACTTGGCTCTTTGGAGAACTCTCTACAATACTCTTCAATAATAATTAACTACAATTAATACCTTCCATATGAGCCTTACATTGCGGGTCGATATTGCCAAATTCTTACAAGCTAAAAAATATTGTCAGAGTATCTTTTTGATTTTTTTATATCAATCGAGAATCTGTCATACATCTTCAAACTTATTATTAATTTTACTTTTTATCGAATCTCTTTAATTATTTTATTTAAATTGGACGATAGAGTATATGTATATATATTCCAGAATTTTGCCTCTTATTTTCTCTCATAGTCGAACAATGATAAGAGCAAAGCAGTAAGGATAGAGAATCCCCTACAGATAAAAAGAAAACAGCGCCGGGCTAATTACCGTCCACGCTACGACCTGTTGTCGCTCGACCAGCAAACTTTATTGCCCGGATTATCAGCGCACACTTGACTTGGTAATAAACGGCTTTTCTTCTTTCTAATCCATCCATCCGTTTTCTAATACGTTCGCTTCAATAATTTATATAAAAAACAATACCTTAAGTAGCGCACGAATAATTTTAAGCGTTACAACAAAATTAAAATTAAATAAATAACCAATCAAACATATATAATCTTCTGTAGGCATTTTTTGTATAAAGACGTTAACCGACGATGAGATTAGCTGATTTACGTGTTTTGTTTGTCGACCTCGTGCCGGGTACTTATTTATTTGTAATATTTATTATTGAAAGCGTTCTGAGCGATCCTTTGTTTGTCGAGAAAACCGAAAACACAGTTCTGCGCGATGAACAAAGGTAATTCTGATTGGTCCGATGTTTCGGGTAGGGAAGGTTTTAACACCGGGTATAAATATGCCGACTTTTTGGGAATCGGCACAGATCGTCGTTGAGAGTATCATCTTCGGAGCGTTTCATCGAGATACCAGCACGCATTCTCTCACGAACCGGCAGACAATCCTTCATATCGAGGCGGCGGAAGGAAGATAGAGTAGAACCGGGACTTGGACAGCGAAGACGTTTCCGACTCGCAATAAACATATATATATATATATCTTCCGAACCTGACTTCTTTTCCTGAGTCAACAAAATTAATCCGGCCTTCTCCTGCACTCCTACATTTCCTTAATCAATAATTAATTGATATATTCGATATTAGATAAAAGATACGCCTACACTTCTTAATTAAAATATATATAGATATAAAAATCCAAGCGTTATCGAGAAAATAGATGCGCCTGTATTCCACGGCACACAAAAAATATTGTGAAATATTTTGTTCGTTCGACAATGGAAAAACGATATCAGTAGGAACATATTGCAAGGCAGCTTTGTTCATTATCGAGAATCATCCACAAATCGTTATCATTGGCTTGCTCCGTCCCACGCGCGTCCGTTACGTCATGTATGCTTAGTTTAATCCGCCACCCTTCCGAGCCCCACCGGCCGGATTATCGTCCAGCGTAGCGTGGAACTCCGGGGGTGACGACAAACTCCCACCCTCCTATAGACAGACAAAAAGACAATCGCAGCTAATTGCCACGCACACTGTCCGATCACTTGTCACTTGCGATCCAATAGCCGGCGAATTCCGTCTGTTGTTTTGTTGTTGCTTCCAGTCGCGTAGGTAATACGAGAACGGATCGCTAGAAACTCGTGGGAGCGGTATCGCGAAGAAAGTGATAAGAAAAAGAAGGACGATATAATCCTCGGGAGTATAGTGCGCTGAAAGTATTAATTAATTGCACGCTCGTCGCTATATTTATTGCTTTTTCCTCGCCCCACGTATCACCCGAGAAGGAAGATTACCCTGATGGTCAGGTACGTGTCACGTTTGCACGTGATGGCAGTGGAAAATAGTGTCTTTGCTATTGAAAATTGGACCGACGAATGCAATGATAATTGCAAGTGATAAAACTGATGAGATAGATAGTTTCTACGTGAATATATATCTCACGTATCGCGAATGAATTAAATGTCAAAATGAAAGATATTTGGATATAGTACTCTAAATATTATATCGCCCTTTTAATTTATACGGTTTTTCAATCTCTTGATGATTAATTCAGAAAGTGTGCCGATTGCGCTCTTTTTAAAACGGAAATTAAATGCGGCGGTGTCACGCAGGAAATTTGCGAGAATAAAACAATCGCGCGTTTCTAATATTTTCATATCTACGGCAATCGAGTATTCTTAATATATACCATATGTAACAGAACGGTTCGTAAAATTGGCTTACAGAGGAAGAGGCTTACCGCAATCTTCTTTCTTCCACGCTACGACGTGAACGGAAAAAATGTAATTTTCGAAACTCTTTTTATTCATTTATACAGAGTGTACTGGCTAGTTATTATGCAACTCTTGCATACCGCATCCAATTTGATCGACGACGTCGACGTGGATTATTATGAGGAATGGGTCGTCATGGTACAAGGTGGACCACAAGTGGCGTCGCTATTGGCAGCTGAATCTGGTTACAAACATCATGGCCCGGTAAATTCTTCTATTAATTTGATATATTTTACTTATATATAATAGACTATTTTTGTCTATAATCTAACGACGTTCTCTACAATTTTATAACGTCGCAAGAATTATTATTTTGTCTGCTTGAAGAAGGAAATAATGGGATTAGTTATAAAAAAAAGGCATAATAAAACATTCACGGTATTATTTAAACTGTTAATTCGCGTAATTAATTAATAGAGAGTTGCTCAATATTGCAAAGTAATTTTCATTTTATACATTGACGTTATTAATTTTATATTCTTTTTGAAATTCGCTCAATACATCTTATGACGAAAAATTTATACATTATTTTGCACATGCGTCACTGTTTAACGAACACTTAAAAATAGATTGATTTTATGCAAAGATTATCTCACGCGAAAGAAAGATGATGCTTTGTCAAGTGCTTGACATATGGTGTGTATTGAGCTGCATAAATGATAATGCCGACTATTGAAAAATATATTAAATATATCGTATTATATTATATATAATATTAAAAATATTTAATTATAAATACAAATTCTTACAAATATTGTTTTTAACTTAAAGTAAAATATTTTGGTCGCACAATTTAATTTGAAAATAAAAATCAGAAAATAATATATATTTGTTACGATTCTTTTAATAAATTAGCTTGGAGTGTATATAACATGGCAAAAATGTTTAGTTAACTTTAATAATAAATGCCTTTATTTCAAAATGTTTTACAAAGTCTTGAAATTTAATTAATAATAAATGTTGAAAATGAAAAAATTGTATTTACATGTTAAAGAATATTCCGCTAAATTTTTGTTAAATGAAAATTCTTTAGTAATTACATAAATAAAATATTTATATATGGAAAGCTCCTAGATAAATGTTAGACATATCTTATAGCATAAATACATACATGATTTTATTCAGTAGCAACTTTTTTATCTCCAAAGATCGGCTAACTATTTTTAAGAAAGTCTTATCCTAAGAAGCATAAAAGTTAAACTACAATACTCTGACGTGAACAAGACAAAGTTAAACTAAAATTGGGCGTTGTACAAGTAACAATAAGTTATCAAGCAGTTATTCAACTTTTAATTGCATCCCAATGTTTCACTTTATGTATTACTTTCAAAAAAGATACAGATATTTTTCGCAAACTTATTCTTTATTAGCTCGGCAAATATCCGATGGAAGAAAACTAATCTCTTTAGTTAACAGTGGCAATAATATGATAAACACAAATTGTATTATAGACACAGACACCTTCTAAAAGTCGCTGCAATATCAACACATTTCCATAAATTCAATATTTCCTACTTTGATAGTAAAAATATTTGTCGTAACGAAATTTCTGCAATTTTTACTCGCAGAATGAAGAGAGATGTTTTCTTACGTCAGATAATTTCGATACCTGCCGCAGAAAGGAGTTACTAAATATTCACTACAATGTAAATGTACGTGCAAATACGTATGGATATCAAGAGAGATCGACCCCATCGCGAGGGCCGGCATTACGGCGAAGGCCGTAAAAAGTATCCCAATTTCTACGAAAAGTTTCCACCCTGTGGGTCTCATTCAGTTCGCAAATACAACTTTGGGAAAAAGGGACGTTCACCGCCGCGTCGAGGTGAAGGAATTTTTACCTCGCCCGGCCGAGGGTCTTTGAAGAAAGTATTCACTTTTGTACGTACACACACACATATACATGCCACCAACGCAACGTTTCGAATCTGACCGGGAAGCGTGAAACGTGTTTTGGAGTTTCGGCAGCAGCTGATGGATTGGCGGCCACGCCAAATCGTTTCCTTTGCCATACGGATGACTGCAAAGAGATTATCCCCGTAAGCGAGAGGCCTCTCACACGAACCATTTGATCGTTCGTTCATTCCGTTTCGTTCGCGTCCGCTGCCTTTGCCACTCGCAGACATCTCGCGCGGATCCTAAAGCCCGATGTACTTTGCAAAACGAATTTTTCTCCCTCTTTCTCTCGCCTTCTCTCGTCACGAGATCATCGCGAGAACCCCAGAGAAAATATATATCGGCGAATGGGAACCGATATCGTATCTCTTTCCCTTTGACAAGAACGTCTCAAGCAATCGCCTTATTTTCATCCGCCACGTCGGGTGCTCCTCGCAATTTCCGATGCGTAATATCGAAAGACGTATGAGGAGAATCACCAATGCAAGCCTAATCTTTTAAAAATATCTCGTTAATCATATGTTGAATTAAGTAGCACACGTGTAGTATAGTTTTTATGCAAAAATATAATTTGAAATATATTGTCTTGTGGGTATATAAAATATTGTAAAGTCTGAACAATTAAATTTTCAAACATATTTATATAGATAAAATAAATCGCGCAAATAAAATTTAACAGTAAAAAATATATATCAATCAAAACTTTCTCAGATTTTCAAGAATGTGTACGGCAAAGAGGAATAAAAATTTTCTATTATAACATAATATTCTATAATAAGATGATTGAACATAAAATTACTGATGTTTGCAAGAAATTATATTTGCAAACAAATATTTATTATTTGTTTGAAATATAATCTAATATTTTTAAAATGCAATTGCTAAAGAAATTAATAACTCTGAAACTCACTTAAACTGCTTGTGATATAATAAATTTAAATCTAATCTTAAGAAAATCTTCATATCAACCTTAACATGTCTGTTTACGATAAACCGAAAACAGAATCAGAGTTACTAAAATACGTTGTCTAAATTCACAAATAGCGGATAGTATGTATAGTTATCGTGCACTTTACACAACGAGTTTTACCTCACTATCTATAGAAGGAAGTATCGATGGGAAGAACGATATCGTACGTTTTCCCTTGGCTTTGACAAGTGCACGAATGCAATCGATGCTTTCCATCTGTCTCACGATACGTGGTTTGCGTCGGGAACGTCAAGTCATCTATGTATTTCCGAAAAAAATAAAATATACTTTAAAAAGATGTTTTTGCATAAAATAACATCTCGCAAATTATTTCCACCGACAATTATAATGAATAAAGAAACAACAACTTTTTTTTAATATACGCATTTTAATAATATTTGTAATATAATAAAAAATAATCCAGTTATCCTCTGTTACGATATAACATAATTAAAGATATAATATAATTATTTAATGGCCATTCATTCAAATTAACGGCTCTGTAATCAATAAAAATATCTGTACACAAAAGATGGATATGATTGTTTATCTGTATGGATATTTTCTCTGAACAACAGTATAAAAATAAAATCAGTGTTTACTGATACAGTTAATTTCATCCAATAATTGCAGAAAATAAATATAAAATAATCATTAATTTTTTGATTATAGAAACAAACGTCTGTGGAAATCAAATTTATATTAAAAATTAATCCTGAGTATACGTTTTTAAACCAAAAAATAAATAAGTAAATAAGAAATTTATGATTTATTACGCATCTAAATTTTTCAACCTAAAGAAGTTCATACTCATCTCTCAGATTCCTAATTTGTCATGTCACCGCTTTATCACAGTATGCGTTTTCTGCGTACAAGAATGTATATGGCATAATTAAACGTAAACATATCGCAGCAGCTTTTTCAATCTATAATGTAGATTCCCCTCTTCAGATGCGACACTTTCACCCGAGAAACTGCGAGCTACACGCGAGAGGAAAGCCGCGTGCAGCTGCTTTGCCGAGCACGCGGTCTACCGCAATCCGCAAGCGAGCGCGATGCATGGGGCTGCTCTTAGGCTGTCTGTAAGCGCATATATCTAACGTGGCTCCACGACATGCAATTATTTTATATAATTAAAAGCCCACTCGTAACGACCAACCAAGAATACGCAATGTAGCCGCGATGTTAACAGGCCGAATGGAAAAGTGATGAGCGCACTTTAAAGAGCGGACTTAATTGCACACGCAGAAAGTCAGATAAGATATTTGACGATTAATAGATTATAATAGTTATATTTCATTGGTGGGCAACTATCATATTCCTTTCTAAAAAAGACATGCAAAGTCGATTATTGCAAATATTGTTGCTGCTTTTCGACGATGCTGTTTGGTTGTTTCGATTAATATTGTGTGTGTTTTATTAATAGCATCAAACAACTGCTATCGTGAAGATTAATAGTTTGACAATTGTAAAATAAAAAGTAAAACTAATATGAATAACCCGCGCAAAGTGTGCGCTTGTGTTGCCTGGTACATAACAAAAATTCAAAAATTAAAATTATATACATAATTAAAATTCGGCAAATTATAATTATGTACTTAATAGACATTCGAGAATTAAAATAAAAATATATACTAATATATAAAATTAAAATATAACTGTTTAATATAATATACTGTAGCATTATTTATACCTGTATTATTGTTTAATGAAAATTATTGAATTGTATTTCTCACATTTGTATTACTATCAGTTTCCTATACTAACAATCATTTACTATCATAATTACTTGATAAAAAAAACTGAAATGATTAATGAGTCGACACAATTACTTTTACTTGTAACTTCCTATTATATTAACAAATCTGCTTATAAATGCTATATTATTATAAATATTGTAGCATATATATATATACAATATATATATATATATATATATATATATATATATATATCATTTTATTTAATCTAACCGAATATAATTATGCACGCAAAGCGAAGTTATATTATTCTTTGATAATAAAATTTCAAAAATTACGACGCATGCGTGCAAAAATTATTATTGCAATCAATGCATAAAAATATATCAATTAATTATACAATGCATAAAAAATTCAATATTTAAATCTTTTACAGAAAATACTAACAAAGAAATAAAATTTTCTACAAAAATCTTTTGTGATTAAATATCTACACTTTCATTAGAATCGCGCGAGACTCACATCCCATACATCCATTAAGCTGCGCGGCTTGCGCGAAACTGATTCTCGTGCGGGGTATCGCGAGCGCGGGCCCGATGGTCACATGATCACTGGTCATGTGACTACTGATCATGTGA